TTTTTTTTTGAGACAGGGTCTTGCTATGTAGCCCAGGCTGGCCTTGAACTCATGGTGATACCTCCTGCCTCACCCTCCCAGGTGCTGGGATTACAGGAGTGTGCCACTATGCCCCAGTTAAAAATTTGAACATTTCCATCTCTAAAAGAGTTTATTTTATTTTATTTTGTTTTTTGACACAAGGTCTTGATATGCAGTTCAGACTGGCTTTGACCTACTATGTAGTCCAGGCTGGCCTCAAACTTGCAGCGATCCTCCTGCTTCAGCCTCCTGAGTGCTGGGAATACAGGTGTGCACTACCACACCTGGCAAGAAGTGAGTTTGTTCCTCCACTCCCCGCTCCGATTATCTGGAGGAACATTTCCAGGTTCTCCCCTGCAGCTTCTCTTTTCTCTCTCCAGGAACACATAAAGTCTAACCACAAGAGGGGATTCTAGGTCCCCACTTCAAGCTCTTCTCTCTGGATCACCTGGACATTTCACTATTTCCTACCAGCATGTCCACTGTCCAAGCCACTACCCCATCTTTCACCTCAGACTGGCTTCTGCTCTTGAATACCCTACTCTATGAATAGAACCATCAATCACCTAGAAGATATCAGAACTCAAAGACATTGCTGATGCCTAATTCTAACACATGTTGCTGGGTGCCAAACTCTGGTCTCTTTCTACAATGATCATCATTGTTTCCTACTCCCAGTGTCCCTTCAACATTAACAGAATCCTGTCTTTCAAGCCCTCCATTTCCCCCTAATTTATATGGGGCTAGGCTAAAGTCATGACTCTGCCAATGATCACCTGAATGACTTCAGCAGAGTTATTTAACCTCTCTGAACCTCAATCTCCTCATCATAAAGGGGAAAACCAATGTCAATTTCATGGGACAACTCTATGTGGATTATATAAGGATTAAATATTTGTTAGGACTTTAGTCAGTGAGTGCCCTGACACAGAGAAAAATGATTTTTGTTTGTTTGTTTGTGTTTTTTTGGTACTGAGGATAGAACTCAGGTCCTTGCACTTGCAGGGCAGGCAGTGGAACCACTAAGGTAAATCCCTGGCCCAGAATGATTCTTTTAAAGACACAAATCAGATTATGTTTCTGTTACTTAAAATCCTTTGCTGGTTCCCTGACTCACTCAAAAAAAAGGCCAGTGTTCACACAGTGGCCTATAAGTCCCACACAATTCCTCCCACCTTGTCACCTTCTAACAATCTCCTATTTCCTCCTCAGGCTGATTTGTCTTTGACCAAATGTCACCATCTTAAAAGAGGTGTTCCATGGCCACTTCCTATCCCCAGGACTTTCTGTCCCTCTTCTCTGCTTAATTTTTCTGCATGACACTCACCACTTCTGAAGTTCTGTGTTCTTTTATTACTGACTTGTTTAATGTCTGACTCTAGCCTCTGTAAGCTCCATGAGAGCTTACTTATCCATATTTTTTTTTTGGTACCAAGGATCGAACTTGGGACCTTGTGCTTGCAAGGCAGGTGGCAGAACCATTGAGCTAAATCCCCAGCCTGAGAGCTCACTTATCTTCTGTTGTGTACTATATTCCTA